CAGCCATAAGTTCTGCTACAAATGATTTTTTTTAAATGAAGTAATGTAATATTATTAAAATGTATACCTACATATTTATTAAAATCGCAGCAAAAAATTTAAGAATATTCTATTCGAAATGGCCACCTTTGGCTTTTATACAGGCCTTTAATCTGTTTGATCATGAATCTATGGATTTACGCACTGCTTCGAAGGGAAATTTCGCCACTGCTTGCTCTAAAGATTTTTTAAGAGACTCAATATCACCGTGTCGTTTAGAGCAGACCATGTCCTCTAAAACTGACCATAATTCTAAAGGGTTGAGTAAAATAAAATAAAAGGTAAACTAGACCATAATTCTGGCATTAACAAGATTAACAGCCTCTGAAGCTCAGCACGCACGCGACTGCCCCGATATTTTCTGGTCTTCAACAGACGAAGTGTCGTTATATCTGTAGATAGTACGTTAAACGAACATACGGCTGATACCAAGCTTTTGTAGCGTCTGGAATATGACCGACTGCTCCATACCCACTTTGTGTAAGGCGATCACTACAATCCTATTTTCTTTAACACCCCATTCCATGTTGTATTTTGATAATGAATACCGAAAAACATGTGAAATGGCGCAAAATCGAAAGAAGTTTTTAAAATAATATAGGTACGTGTTCTAAATTCAAAATAATTAAAAACTTGAAAAAAAGGAAAGTTTTTATGTAACAGTATATATTCTACTATATAGTATATGTAACAGTATATATTCTACTATATACTAGGCCAGACTAGTTAGATACATGCGGTTACATCTTATACAATATTTCTGAACTGAGTATGGTTGATAAAATCAAATATTAATCTACAACCAGTTTTTCGTCAATTATATTACAAGCATTAAAACAGATTTCCTATTTAAATTTTATTTATAATTTTATTTTAGTTTCGTTTAACGGACAACGTTTTGACTTTCCCAAAAGAATGGGATTTGTCTGATCCATCATTAAATATGAGCAGTCACTATAGAATGTCGAATCGTATCGTATTGCTTAAAAAAGAGTAGCTATATCAATTGAGTTTTATGAGGTATAAGATACTGAATGATGTCGTAAAAAGTATCCCGCGGAGATCGGCCGTTTACCGAGGCACCAATATTTTTTTTTTTTTATAGATTTTGCCCATGCTAGTGATAAACCGATGACCGAACAACACTTTATTAGTCATTGAGCGGTGGTTCAGTCAATTGTAACTATAGTCGATTAGGATATTAAAGTTGTAATATTTGTCTTTTCCTTTTTTTCCCTTTCCTCTCATCTTGTTAAGTCTAAAAAATTTACAATGTCAAGTCTCCGTCTTAGTCTATGGCCTATTTTTCCCTACCTATTCGCTGGTAGCCTATGAGGCTATTCCAGCTACGCCCGGACCAACCCGGTGAGCTCACGGGCTTAACCTAGGAGAATTTGCTACCACTAGCTCTAGCAAGAGCAGTGCTTCACAGAATCTACCCCCGGGTCGGAATCGCGACCCACTGAGAAGATCTGGCGAGAAACTCAGTAGGCTGTGTCTATAGGTTAGTTCGCTTGTCAAATCTTCGTCGTAATCGACAAGTTCGACGGGGACGGTAAACAATGCTTTAGAGATGTAAAAGCACCGAGAGTGAATCCAGGGGATCCGACAAGACGTTTTTTTTTTTGCTTAAGTGTGTGAAATAGCTTACAGCCCACCTGGTGTTATGTGATTAGTGGAGCCCATAGACATCTACGACGCAAATGCGCCATCCACCTTGAGATATCAATTCTAAGATCTCAGTATAGTTACAACGGCTGCCCCGCCCTTCAAACCGAAACGCATTACTGCTTCACGATAGAAATAGGCAGGGTGGTAGTACCTAACCACGCGGACTCACAAGAGGTCCTACCACCAGTAAGACAGCGGCTTTGAGTTGCCCCGTCGCGGTCGGATAATTAATTAGTGGTGGCGATAAGAGGGTTTTCATGTCACGCCGCTTCGTCGAAGTAGCGCTCTGACGCTTCCTTAAGATACACGTATCTGTAGTAGTCGTCGTGAAGATCTACATTCCTCACATACCACGGTGCTCCAACGCTTTTTCTGCAGAAACGGGATTGGATGACCTGGTGAGAGTTTATGTGTGTACGGGCCGCGTGAGCGAACATTGCACTTTCATAGGTCATGACAAAACGTATGCAAGTTTTGTAGTGTGTCACCTGATAGGAACGGACAATTTACTTCGCTTGCACATCATAGAAAAGAATCGACCGAGTAGAAACGCGGCACGGTCGCGTACTGACTTAATGTGAGGCCGAATGTCATCCCCCTGTCGGGAGCGCGACCCTTTTAGAAGAGCAGGGCTGTGTTTTTTGTGGGGTTGATGTTGATGATGGGGACGCCACTTCTGGGACCACTGTCCTAAATTGGTGGTCGCGATCTTGAGCTTACTCTGGGGTTCCAACTCGAGTAATATAACTAAGTATCATACGTGGAGAGGGCTAAGTTGGTCGCCGGCGACCGAGGTATATCGTTAATAAACAGGCTGAAAGGTAGCGGGGAGATAACGGAGCGTTGCGGTCCCGCCGAGATATGTCGAGGGAGAGAGCGAGTTCTCTCGACTCGATACCGAAACGAACGGTTCGACAAGAAGTCTCGTACTATGAGCATGAGACTGTCTGGCACGCCCATATTATACAGTTTGTAAATTAAACCGTTGTCAGACTTTATCGCACGCCTTCGCAATATCGAAGAAGAAGGCTTTCGTGGAGATGGGCCTGCATCTATTTAGTCCTACTGAGATGTGCTCCGTGAAGCGGTGTACTTGCTGAATGCACGAATGTTTCGCGCGGAATCCAAACTTTTCGTCGATCAGGAGGTCTTTCCAGGTGATGAAATCCAAGAGGCATTTGCGTAATAGTTGCTCGTATAATTTGCCTAGGGAAGAGGAGGCTGATCGGGCAAAAATTATAAATATCCCCGTAAATGCAAGAATCCAACATCACGTGGTGTTCCCAGGCGCTCACCCATCCAAGTACTGATCACGCCCGATGTTGCTTGTCTTCGGTGATCGGACGAAAACTGGTGTATTCAACATGATATGGACGTTGGCTTAGTCCTGCCAAAGAGGTTGGTCGCCACGACAATCATCCTTCCATCCACGACAGACATAATCGCTTAACTTCACATATTTCGTCAAAAAGAGACTACTGCTACCAAACCAGGTCAGCCATTGCCAGTTTCGTAAACTGAATGATATTACTTTAAAATATATTACCTAATGTAGAATTTCATCTTAGTACGAAAATTTAAGAAAATTTGAAGTCGTCGTGGCCTAAAGGGTAAGGCGTCCGTGCATTCGTATCTAGCGAAGCACAGGTGCTCGGATCCCAGGTGGGTACCATTTTTTCTAATGTAACGTATTTAACAAATGTTCACGTTTGACTTCCACGGTGAAACAATAGCATCGTGTAATAAAAATCAAACCACCACCCTGCCTGTTTCTGCCCTGAAGTAGTAATGCGTTTCGGTTTGAAGGGTGTGGCAGCCGTTGTACCTATACTAAGACCTTAGAACTCATATCTCAAGGTAAGTGGTGGCATTTACGTTATAGATGTCTATGGGCTCCGGTGACCACTTAACATCAGGTGGGCCGTGAGCCCGTCCACCCACCCAACTAAGCAATAAAAATAAAAAAGCTACACGATGAAGCACGCTATCATTAGAATAAAGCTTCTGTTTTTTAAATTGACGTTTCGATATGAATATATGAATAAATTTACGGTCTTGTACTGAACGAAGTAAATACATAATATACTATTATCAATATAAAACATGATTTTTATAAAGTAAATAAAGATAAAAGTATTCGAGAAAAGATTTGATAAAAGTAAAGCATTTTAATATGCTATGGTAATTTTCATTTGTTTATAGCTTAGATGGATGAACGAGTCACGACCCACCTGTTGTCAAGTGGTTACAGGAGCTCATAGACATCAACAAGGTGAATGTCATTACCCACCTTGAGACACGAGTCCTAAATTTCAGTTCTGCAGTATAAAGGCTGCCTCACACTTCAAACCGCCATACTTTTTTGCATGGATAGGCGGTGGTAGCTACCCACCCGTGCGTGCTTATAATGTGCCGTGCTCGATGTTATTACTTGATCATGGATGAAATTCGTGAACATATGTCAATTACATAATAATATTAAATTGGAAAAAATTGTTCCTGCCTAGGGCATATCAACACCGGTACAGTCGCATCGCTTCATTTCGAATACACCGGGCGTGTTTACAAATTAAAAGGTAATAGATATGACGGAGTGGTTCCTTGGTGTTCCAGGTAAATCACAATATGAATTAAAAGTATTCAAAAATAGTTAACCATGTTTGAATGAACTGGTGTGACGGCAAAAGATATTTCTTTTCAAAAAAAAAAAGTTCACGATTTACTTCCACGATGGAGGAATAACATCGTGTAAAAAAATCAATCCCGCAAAATTATAATTAGCGTAATTACTGGTGTTAGGTCCTCTTGTCAGTCCGTGCGGGTAGGTACCACCACCCTGCCTATTTCTGCCGTGAAGCAGTAATGCGTTTCGGTTTGAAGGGTGGGGCAGCTGTTGTAACTACCTATACTAAGATCTTAGAACTTATATCTCAAGGTGGATTTACGTTGTAGATATCTATGGGCTCTAGTAACCACTTAACACCAGGTGGGCTGTGAGCTCATCCACCCGTCCAAGTAATAAAAAATAAAAACAATGAAAATAACCAAAAAATGCTTAACAATGTGAAAATAATTTGTTGGTGAAGCTTGTTGGTTATTTGATTGCAGTTAAAATAGTAATTCAACCATGACGCGGACGTCATTACAATTTTTAAAATTACGTATAACTCAGCCATAACCGACTAGATTAAATGCAAGTCCTCGACTGTCTCGAAAATTTCTCCGAGCAAAACTAAGTTTTAATTGGTAACATGAAACGTAAAACGTGTATCAAGTCCTTATGTACTTACCGAAGAAACAGCAGCAGAAAACGATAGTATATAAGGTTATGAAAATAGCTCTAACATCGGTCCTATCGAATATGTATTCGTCTTCATTATATAACGGTCCAGTTTCGTTTATTCTTGATACGTTAACATCCTCAGGACTCGAAGTCGTCTTGTTCAGAGAACTCCACATGGTCTTCTCTTCTACACCTATTAAAAGCCTGACGTGATGCATATTGCTGGATGTACCGTCAATCATCTTTATTTTCTCCTGTAGCTGTGGCTTCTTTTTCACATTTCCTGAAGAAGAAAAAAAAAACATTTACTCTGGACAATTACATAAATGTAAACCATGTAAATATTTGCCTAACTATATAGATCACTGCAAAAAGACAAAAACTTAAAATTCTTTGATCTGTTAAAACAATGGGAAATAAAATATCGCTTCTGAGATTGACCCCAATGCGCACGTCTTTCATAAGATAATATTCCATATACTGTTCGTGCGAACTGAAAACGAGACACATGGATGATCGCAGATTGTATCTATAAAATAAAGTCATATATAAGATAAAAATAAGCTTGTGTTACTGTTTGGTCCACACCAGTCGATTTGTAGCTCCGATGGTACGTAAAATCATAAATTAAATGTATTTAATCTATACTAATATTATAAAGAGGAACGATTTGTTTGTTTGTTTGTATTGAATAGGCTCCGAAACTACTGAACCGATTTGAAAAATTCTTTCACTGTTTGGAAGCTACACTATTCCCGAACGACATAGGCTATAATCTTTTTTGAAAAAAATTAGGGATCCTTACTAAAACTCCAATAATGTAACCCAAGGTGTAAAAAATTACCTAAAATATTCTTCTAAATATCGCGTGCCCTGCGGAAGCTATTGATGATAGAATAAAATAATGTACTACGACTTTATAGAATACATTATTATTTACAAAAATTGTTGCGACAGCATATGTCTAACTATTATAGTTATGCCGCAATAAGTGTTATTGTATATGATAAAAATGATAAAACGCATCAAATGTATTTTTTTTTTTTTTTTATTGCCCTTGTAGGCAGACGAGCATACGGCCCACCTGATGGTGAGTGGTTACCGTCGCCCATGGACTTCAGCAATGCCAGGGGCAGAGCCAAGCCGCTGCCTACCGCTACCGCTATGCTCATAGCTTCAGGGTATAAAGTATCTTAGTGCGAATTTTCATTTTTTTAATGCTCTTTTCGCTTGACCAGCTTACGACCCACCTGGTATTAAGTAGTTACCCGAGCCGAATTTGAATTCCTTCGAATTATACGGATAGTAACCCTGGCTCGGGTTATAATTCCGAAGTCAGTGTTTCTGTGAAAGATCGTTGATATTTGGGATCTTAAGTATTTGTTCTTGCTTCATATAAGTTTTCAGCAGCCATAACATAGGAGAAAATTATTACTTACTTTAATTTTCTACGTATATTTGTTTATTATTATTATTATAATAGGGGTTACAGTATGAAATTGCCGTTCTATTGTAATAAGTACTTCGAATTGACATAGAATGAGATTTTTGAGTAAAACTCATTTCAAATGGTACCTATGAGGTTCTTCTTTTAAAAAAATGTGTAACATATGGACTTTCAGTTGGGTTTTTTTTTATTCAGCTTAGACAAAAAAGACGGATTTTTCGAAAATTCGAGTGATTTTTGTATAAGAGTTCCGATGTGGAACTAACGCTGCAGAAAAAGCTCGCTATATCAATGTTGCGTTTGGAGAGGGCCTACTAATGAACTCACCGTGCGATTTTGATTTAAACACTTTCGTGATGGTTTTGAATTGAATTGAAAGAGATGGTGGAAGCCGATCTGAGCCAAACTACCCAGGAATTGGCGGCATGGTTTAACCTTATCTTACCAACAATATTGGTAAGATCGATAGCGTCAAATCAATAAAATAAAAAAATAAAAAAAATTGGTGCCTCATGATTTTACTGATCTGCAGAAAGAAACGCGTGTTGAAACTTGTATTGCCTTATTGAATCGATATATTGGATCGAATTGTGAAATGTGATGAAAAGTGGATTCTTTACGATAACCGTTAACGAAAAATGCAATGGCTGATCTTTTTTGTTTATTGCCTTTGTAGGCAGATGAGCATACGGCCCACCTGATGGTGAGTGGTTACCGTCGCCCATGGACTTCAGCAATGCCAGGGGCAGAGCCAAGCCGCTGCCTACCGTTTAATACACTCCACAAGCCTCGTTTGAAGAAGGACATGTCACGGCGCTCGGGAAACACCGTGGAGGGGAGCTCATTCCATAGCCGAATGGTACGTGGCAAAAAAGACCTCTGGAAACGCACTGTGGATGACCGCAGTGGCTCCAGGTAGTATGGATGAACTCTACTCCGGTGGCGGGCGGTGCGATGGTAAAAACGAGATGCCGGTATCATCTCGAACAATTCCTCAGAGCACTCCCCATGGAACATACGGTACAAAATACAGAGGGAACCGAAGTCCCTCCGCAGACCCAGAGGTTCCAAACGATCCGTGAGAATGGGATTATCGACAATCCGAACGGCCCTCCTCTGTATGGAGTCAAAAGGAAGAAGCTGGTATTTGGGAGCCCCGGCCCAGAGATGGGAGCAGTACTCCACGCGAGGCCGGACTTGTGCTTTATAAAGCAAAAGCCTTTGTCCAGGCGTGAAGTACCGCTTCGCTCTGTTGAGGACTCCCCGCATTTTCCCAGGTCATCCCAGGTCAAACGCTGCAACAGTGTCGTAAAACAAAGCTTACCAATAAAAAGATAATGGTAACTGTTTGACTGTCTCAGCATGGTGCTATTCACTACTATGCCGAACTCCGAACAATGATGGCAAAACTTACAGTGAAACAGCCCCAATTCATGAAACGATCTTCACCATTATTGCTCCATGATAACGCGAGACCTCATACAGCACGAAATACCGTTTTAACTTTACAGGAACTGCAATTAGAAACCATTCGTCACCGTCCGTATTCGCTAGACCTTGCTCCAACGGACTACCATTTTTTTTGTGATTTGGACAATTTTCTACGTGATAAAAAGTTTTCTTCTCAGGATGCAGTACAAAATGCTTTCACACAGTCTGTAGAATCTAGATCACCAGAGTTCTATCGCAAAGGCAGAAATTACCTTCCTATTAGATGAGATGGCAGCAATGTATAGATAGTAATGGTAGATATTTTGTTTAAATAAATATGTTAAATGAAAAAAAAAAGTTTCAAAATTTTCAGTATAAATCGGCAATTTCATATTTTTAGCCCCTAATAATAAACAAAACTGGACAGCATGCCTGCGACCTCAAAATTAAATCTGGTATAAGCTCATAATATTGTTCAAAAACACGCATAAATAACGTCCGTCTATCTTCCGCTTGTATGTTTGTCAGAGATAAGGTACAGAATTTTTCATATTATATAGAGACAAAGTGAACACTAATATGCGATAAAGACTATAGGTAGCGTATTCTCTAAGCAAGTACTTTAGGACAGTGTGCAGGCGTTTCTATAAGTGTGTGGACTCTACAATATCTTGTAAATGTTTGTTATTTATAACATAACACAAGAGCCTTAGCAGAGATTAACTCTTTTTCTAAAATAGTTAGATAAACGTTCAATTTTACTTTATAAGTCTGGCTTGTGAAGGTCTTAGGCATAGGGATATAGTTAATGGGTTCTATGGAAAAAATTCAATGCATGAAACGTTTTAACTAAGTCGGTGCAAATATAATGTTTACCTAACGCAAAATATGTTTACGAGCACTTATGGTAAGTAGCCTTCGAGATACTGTCTAGCAACAAAACGCTTGCATATTAGATCACAGTAACATCTGTGTTCATTTGAATAGTTAGTTAACAGGCAAATATGAGGAAATAAATAGTGCTTAGGTTTTTCTAAATAACTAGAGGTCCCGCAGTAGTCGAAATTCGACTATAATTAATTGGGATTGTAAGTTTGTACACTATTATGATTGTAATTTATACTTCTATAATCACAAATTTCGCCAAGGCTCCACTATAAAAAAATATTAATAAAGACAAACAATATATAATCTATTCCCAATTTGACCACAGACGTCAAGAACAAAAATTTGACAATAAATAGTATGCATGCGTGTGTGCGTCAAATACATGGTATGTAGTGTGTGTAATGTTTTCTTTATTGATTTAATGTGTCTTTTATGCATTACTAAAAAAAAATAACATTGTGCACTTTTTCTTTAAATTCTCTATAAGTGTGGAAAATTTCATACTCCTCCGTCTGCGCAATTTTCGTAAAAAGGGATACAAAGTTTTTGCTTCACGTATTAATATATAGATAAAAGATAACCACAACAAAACTTCAATTACAGACTGACGAATACCAACCATTCTTCGAGGATTTGAAAATTTTCCTTTTTTTTACAACTGGTTAGATTAGATACATTTGGTTGCGCAATTGATCGTCAAGACGTGATACACAAGAGCTTCGAGTGAAAACTCGTTTATCTAAACTACGTATTCTTATGAGGCAGATGTTGCCTATATGTTAGTAAGGAACGATCAAGCATTTATCATATCGCTAGTAAAAAGTATGTAGTTTTCGCGAAATGGCGCTCAGACGTTGACTTTAAATACTTTACGATGGACTATATGATGGATGAATACGTGAGACTGCGTCTCACGAATTGATCCGTAATATTTTGAATAATCACTTGGGTATTTTATTTTTTATTTCTTGCTTAGATGTGTGGACGAGCTCACAGACCACCTGGTGTTAAGTGGTTACTGGAGCCCATAGACATCTACAACGTAAATGCGCCACACACCTTGAGATATAAGTTCTAAGATCTCAGTATAGGTAGTTACAACGGCTGCCTCACCCTTCAAACCGAAACGCATTACTACTTCACGGCAGAAATAGGTGGGGCAGTGGTACCTACCCGTGTCCTACCACCAGTAATTACGCAAATTATAATTTTGCGGCTTTGATTTTTATTGCACGGTGTTATTCGTTCACCGTGGAAGTCAATCGTGAACATTTGTTAAGTACGTATTTCATTAGAAAAATTGGTACCCGCCTGCGGGATTCGAACACCGTCCGAACGGACGTCTTATCCTTTAGGCCACGACGACTTCAAAACAGGTTTTCTCTCGGCCAGGCCCCAATTCATGACAATTCATGACAATGCATCTCCACACCGCCAGAGACAAGAATGGATGGAGAAAAATCGTGCGTGCGAAGGTGATACAAAAGGGTGGTCACGACCCTCAGCAATGAGGAATA